CCCCAAAACCCCAAAACCCCAAAACCCCTTGGATCAACATCGTAACTTAATGTTTGATATATAAATAAAAATAAATAAGTAAATTTCTTGAAAAAAATGATGCTAATGTGTTGCTGCGCAAAGGCGCGTAAGGATGGTGATGTAACTATTGAAGGGCCAGAAAACAGAATAAGAAATATCAATAGAATTTTGCTTGAGTTTGTCAATGAAGAATCCAAAATAGGACTGAGAGAGGTGCCTTGTATTGAAATGATCGAAAAAGTTTTGCTTGCTTCTAATAAAGGTGAAGTTCCCAAGAGAGATATTATTTAAATATACAAATCGACAGAATAAGTCAATCAGAATTCTATCAAGAACTTTATGATTTAAGATTTTTTCTTTGTGGACACTTCTAGGCAAAAATACGACTTCAACAAAATAGTTTTGTTCAATTTACTCTACTCAGGAGGTAAAGAGATCGAAAAGGCAAATTTCCTGTTTAATGTTATTGAGAATACATCGAGCAGTGCTGTTCACAATCACTCTTAAAAATTGCTGAATACCCTTGAAAATTTAACCTACATAAGCTGTATTGTGGTAGGGGAGATCATAAATTCTGTGAGAAGATTCTAAACAGATACTGAGGACTCTGAATTCCAAGAGTTACTTTCACTTTACTCCACTAATGCGAATATGCTTCGAGAGTTCGGGAATCATATTGCTAGCATTTTTCTGTTCCCATCCTCCGAGGATAGGCAGTATCTCATGAGACCAGATTTCATTAAAAAAATGGAGGAGTCAGCCTATTTGCTCATCAAGCCACATGAGATCAGAAAGAAATACACTGAATACGTTTGGCAAAATAAAGCTAGAGCTCTGCTTCCCTCTAAGCTGATGAGAAGGACAACTCATGGAATTCGGGAGAATGGAGAAGAGAGTAAAAATCCTAGTGAGATTAATGATTCAATAAGACAATCTGCAAGAGGTACCTTGAGAAAGTAATTCTCAGGTTAAAACCAAAAACAGTAGTATTCTAGATAGATATCAGAAGCTCAATTATAAAATTCAGCTAATTAGCAAAAGTAGTTAAGATAGGATAAAATGGATAAATACTTACCACTATAATCCCCTTATAACTACTCTAACAACGATAATTTGGACAAATCTTCAGATATTTCGATGGCAGTATATAGATACGAGGACAAAAGTGCACAAGATTCCATGAGTTCTCCAACAAATAGATAAAATAAGAATAAAAATAATAATGCTTTCTAAAAACAAAATTACAACTAGTAATATTAGCAGTAGCAACAACAACAACTCTAAAAGAGTCAGCAAAATATTAATAAATACTTCGATTAGCCTGCTTTAGTTTAGTAAAATTTTAGTAACCAATTTACTGATAAGGGACACTCACCTCTGCTAAGTCCAGCTACTGCTAAACTTGGAAGTGAAGTTGATATTGAAAGGGACATGAAACAAAGACTCAAAAGTTTAAAATTGCAAGGACCAAGCAATAGAGAATCTTCAGAAACTCAGACGTCACTACTTTCAACCACAAGTAATATATAAATAGCATTAATCTATTTTTAGACTTGAGAAAATACTAGAATGTGCAGATGTATTTAAAAGAGATGTTTGGAGAGCAGTTTGTCAATATGGTAGCAGAAATGATGGAACCCTTTGATGCAAAAAAGTAATCAACTTTGCAGATGAAACTTTCTGACTTAAGAAACTCAACTAAGCTTGAATTCCCAGAATATAATGCCTATCCCTATCATATAAGAGAAGTTTTCGAGTATTATAATGCTATATTGCATAAGGAAGATCTTCTTGAATTTTCAAAGGGAAAGCTATTTAGAGATAACATCATAAATGTCTACCTTAAGATTCTTGAAAAGATAAACTTGGTGAGATAGAGCTAATATAACTATCAAAGAGCCACAACTAGAAATTCTGTAGATATTTACTCCCAAAATACAAGTTAAACACCTTAAAAGATACTCTACTTTAACACATATTTTAGCAGAAAACTTAACAATGAAGCTTATGTGAAGGATTGCTTGAATATGCTTTAAAATTTCTTCAAATTTGATTAAGTTATCTTGCCGTTCTTTATTGATGAAGAAGATGATTAGAGGGCTTTAATAGTTAGTGTAAAGGTAGCGAATTTCTAAGTTGATTTGTACGATAGAGAAAGAGATGAGGACAGTAAGTTAAATTCCTAATCTAATCTAATGCTTATTATATAGACCACGATATTTCGGATACTGTATTACATTTAATGGACTTATCATCAAGGATATAAGATGTAGAATTTAATGAGGATCAGATTGATGGAGGTGTAGAAGGTGTATGCGTTGACCGTGAAGAAGATATGCTTGTAGCAATATGCTACATTGCGGAATAAATTACTTTTAACAAACCGGTAGATCTCGAAACATTTAATGTAAACTTAGAGAGATAAAGAATCCTAGATGTATTTCTCTCTTTACTATAATTCAAGTGAGAATTAAGTTGTAATGAAAAAGTAATAATTATACATTAGAGTTTAAAATTAGTTAATTATTGAAATACTTTTCACTCCTTACTCTAATCTTGTTAAATGGGGTTTTGGGGTTTTGGGGTTTTGGGG